TGCTAACCACTTCTATATCAGTAACTAACTAACTGCAGAGTTGTCTTCCTTCCTCTCTTTGCCACATTTCTACAATGGCTTTTTTTATAACATTGAGGACATAACAAACTTACAGCAGCCCGGCGGAAAACAATTGAAAATCAGTTGCATTCACAAGAAAGATTTGTAATGCTTTTTATTCCCTAACAATACATGATAACGCAACATTCAAATCAAAGCACTTTAAGCAAGCTTCATTTAATTAAGTGCTGTGTTGTTGGCTATATTTCATTTGTCATAATGGTTACATGCAATTCAATTGAATCAATAAAAAGCATGCTGTCAGCATAAACAAGCTGAGCGCGAAACCAGCTCCTGTTATTTTCGCAGCTTGTGTGCAGGTGACTTATTGCAGAACTTTGAGGTTTTATGCTTTGTTAACAAGAGCTACATTATTAACTCTTGTATTATTTCTTGAGTCGTTGAAGATATTTGTTTATTATTACACCTCTTGACAATCACTGTTCTAATCTTTGGTTAATCAATCAATATGATTTACTTACAACAGTGTGGATGCTTTCCAAATATTATGTTTGTGTGTCAATGCTTACATTTAAAATTACCTCCTTCAGCACTTCCGGTAATAAATTGTCTCACGACAGGACAAGAAATAGCATATCTAAGAAAATGAGAAAGTCAATTTAGGGTTAGTGTGGCTGTAAGGTTGCTTTAATATGTGATGAAGTGAATGAAAAGATGAAAGGTTTTGACCTTTTGATAACTGTTCTACACTACCTCCGTAACATACCTGTAGCCAAATGATTTTCCTAGCACCCTCTATATCTTATTTCAAATTGTAGACCATCTCTGAATTTATGCTGTTATTAGTTCATTTGACTGGATTAAGTGTATTAGCTACAAGGAGAGGTTGGAGAAACTTGGATTGTTTTCACGAGAGCATCAGAGGTTGAGGGGTGACCTTATAGAAGTAAATAAAATTATGAGAGGTATGATAGAATGGATAGCCAGAGTCTTTTCCCAAAGGTAAATATATCAAATACTAGGAGGCACAGGTTTAAGGTGAGGGAGGAAAAGTTTAAAGGAGATGTGTGAGTTAAGTGCCTGGAATGTGTTGCCAAGGGACATTGTGGAAACAGATACGTTAATAAAGTTTAAAAAGCATTTAAACAGACACACAAACAGACAGGGGATAGATGGATACAGACCATGTGCAGACAGATGCAATTAGTTTAGAATGGCATCATGGTTGGCAGTCATGGTGGGCTGAAGGGCATGGTCCTGTGCAGTAATGTTGTATGTTCTATGTTATCCTAAAGATGTTTGAATTTTTTCACATCTCAGGTCTTAATTTGAATGAATGTGCTGGTTTAAAGGAAGAAAGGAGAAAAATACATATGAAACGTGTACTTATTTTCTTCCCTGTGAGGTTAAATTTTTTTTTAAATTTCTGAACACTTATAGCTCCACACTTTAGACAGAGGTTGCTTTGTGTTCCCACTTCAGTGATCTGTGTTCCAGTTATTTATACAGCCATCCCTCTGTATTCCTTCTCTTTACACTGTCACTGATCTGTGTTCTTGCCCTTTAGACTGTCACCACTCATATTCCCTCTCTTTACGGTGTCACCACTTTCGCATTGCCACAACTTGGTATTCCTTCTCCATCCACTGCCCTTGCACTGTGTTCCCACTCTTTACACTTATCACTCTGTGTTCCCACTCTTTACACTGCCTCTTTTTACTTTTCTTTTACACTGCCATTGTTCTGTTTTCTGCCTCTACACTGCCATTGCTCTGTGTTCCTGCTCTTTACACCATTGCTGCTGTGTTCCTAATTTTTACCTAACTACTGCTCTGTGTTCCTATACAAACACCCCAGTTCCCTCTTTACCTCAGCCTCCCTATTTCAATAGCTTTCTGCTATTCTTCCCTTCCAAAGGGAGCAACCTCACATTTTCCTACATTATACTCAATCTTCCAAATTTTTACACATTCCCTTAACTATCTACATCCTTTTTGTAACTCCCTTGTTTCTTTCTTCTTTTCCTCCTATATTTATATTATCCACTATTATACATCAGTTCCATCATCTATATAATTAATATAGGTCGTATACAGAAGGTGTCCCTGCACTGATCCTTGTGGTACTCCACCACAACTTGCCAGCTTAAAAATGACCCATTTGATTTGAATCTATTTCCAGTCTAATGTCCACCACCTATCAAGGCATGAATCCTGATAACATTTTATCAAACTGCTACAAAAGGACAGGTGCACAAAACACGAAATTTCATGGTTTAAATACTCTGGTTCTATCTGCTAGCCATTGATTTTCACATTTTATCTGTCAATGCCAACTTGTGCATTATAATTCACTCAGGAGTCTAAGTTGCTATGGTATCATATGCTCTTTGTCTTAAATGTTCATTGCAGTCTATATTGGTGCTGTGGATAGTTACAGTTGAGGACTTAATGTTGCTGAGGACTGTTGTTGATATCTTGTCATGGAGGAGAGGAGGATGTTGATGAATTTCACTGGACAGCTGCCCTTTGACAGAGTCTTCCATAGCACTTCCTGATTGACTGACTGAGTCAAAAGCCTTGCTCAGGTTCATGAAGGCCAAGTAAAGTTAATACTCCTGACATGTCTCTTAGAGTTGCTGAGCAGTAAAAAATCATGTCCACAGTTTCACAGTTTAGTTGGAAGCCACACTGGCTTTCAGGAATGATTTCCTCCAATACAGGGAGAAGGTGTTTAACAAAGATTCAGGTGATGATCTTCCTGGTGATAGAGTGGGGAGATTCCTAGGTAGCTTCTACAGTCCACCTTGTCTCCATTCTTGAAAAGAGTGGCGATGGCAGCATCCCTAAGATCGACAGGGTTTTCTTCTTTGTCCCAGATTTTCAGGAATAATTGATTATGAGAAAGCTCTGCCCCTCCAAGTTTGGAAATCTCCAATGGAATCCCATCTATTCCTGCAGCTTTTCCATTTTTTACGTGTCTAATAGCAGCTTCAACTTCAGCCACACTAGGTGGATGTCTAAGATCACTTTTGATGGGGGGGGCAGGGCGGGAGGGTGGTGTGTTGGGGGATTTCCTCAAGCACTTCTTTGTTGACAATTGTATCATGGTTAAGGAACTCTTGGAAGTGTTCTCTCCATTGGACGCTGATGTTTTCTCTGTCTCTCAAAAGGGTTCCATCCTTACTCTGCATCAATTTGAGGTCAAAAGTGTCAGGTCTGTATATTGCCATGGTGGTCCTGAAGAAACCCTGGTTTCATGTTTGTCATTCAGGAGTTGCAGTTCCTTAGCTTTCTCAGTCCACAATTGGTTATTGATTTCCCTCATTCTTCTTTGTAACTCTGCCATTGTGGTTTAATGAGTTCTCCTCTTTGCCTTGCTGGTGGTGATGTTTTGCCAGGCATGGAGAGCTTTCCTCTTCTTGTTGATGAGGTCTTGGATGATGTAGTCATTCTTGTCGATAAAGTCTTGATATTTCCTGTTCTTATAGCTGATGGTTTCTTCACAGCATGAGGTGATAGCTATCTTCAGCACTTCTCAGATTTCCTCCACTCCATTAAAATGAATCCTTTGGAGACATTGGTGAAGGTATTGGAAGTTTGCTAGTCTGCTTGGCTCTTGAAGCCTCTTAACATTGAGCTGTTTTCTGAACTGTTTCTTCATTTTCAGCTGCTTCTGGCAGCATTTGATGGATATTGAGGAGCAGATGAGCTGGTGGGCTGTCCAGCAATTATTTGCATTGGTCATTACTTTGGTAATGAGGCCATCCTTTTGGAATCCAGATCGAATGATGACATGGTCAATCATCTGCCAGTGCTTTGATGTGTAGGGCACTAAAATGTCTTGTACTTGACTTTTTGGATGAACAATGTGTTGGTAATGATGAGCTCCGCACATTTGGTGAACATAAGAATTCCATTGGAGCTGCAATTCCTCACTCCTTCCTTTTCGATGGTTCCTTTACAACCCTGGTGTTAAAATCCCCAAGGATAATAATTTTATCTTCCTTCAGTATGTTGGTGAGTATGGCATCCAGAGCAGAGTAGAAGCCTTCTTTAGACTGATCTGTGGCATCAAATGTTGGAGCATAGTCACTCACAACCATTGTCCGCTGGTTTGTAGCAAGTTGTAGACAGAGAGTCATGAGGTCATTGTTGATGCCAACAGGGAGTTCCGAGAGTCGTTTGACAAGTTTGTTCTTGATGTGAATCCAATTCCATGCAACAGTGTTGATCCAAATGAAGTGATGAGTTGTTTTGTCTATTTGTTTGAGGTCAGTTCATTCATGGTTTGTTCGCTGTTGTAAACATACTATACTGATCTGCAATTTAATGTCCAATTTTCTGTATGCTAGTTTGGTGGACTACAACTAGACGGACATGTTTTTGAGCATGACATTGTTCATGGATGTGTTTCTTGCGTACATGTTCCTAATCTACTCTGAACACCGCCGTACCTTGAAGGATAAGATAGAAATTGTATGGATTTGGGGACAGACACTTCAGGGTGAAGGGGGTTTTATAGCATAGGAGCTGGGAAGATGTTTCCGCTATCCACACCCTCAAATATAAATCCAGCTGAGATCTGATGGGTAAGGCCTAACTCATTGTGGATCATTCCATAACGGTTGTCTCAAGTAAATTTGAAGCCTACATCAGAGAACCTACTTTTTATCTGCATCATCTGTGCTGCAGCTTCATTTGTACGGAAGATGTAACAAGCTGCAGGAATGGGGTCCCAAATGGGGAATCATACTGAAATACATTGGCTCAAGTTTGTTTAATGCTTTCAGTGACGAAATCAAAATCGTTTGTTAACACCCATGCCTAATTCATTACTTTAAATGTTCATGCACAATGTTGGGAAGAAAAGTCAATACGAAAGAAGGCCTCACTGATGTACCATGAGAATATGATCATGTACTATTCTTGTGCTCCCATGTTTTGTTTGTTGCCATTTAACTTTTATTCTTAATCAAGATTAACGAGGAAATGTGAGAAAAAAAAATGCTGCTCAAGGGCTCCTCTGATGTGAAATGTAACATCGCAACAAAGTCGGCGATTTCCGGTCGGTCTGTGTTTACCAGACGATCTGACAGTGTGTACTGACTGAAAGAAGCATACCAACCAACGCTGGGGAGCTTCAGATGAGTCTGTCTGCATTTCCGACAGCTGGCCGTGTTACAGAATTGGAAATACCATGGGTACGTTATGATCCTCATCTTTATAAAGGCAGCTAACGGAAAAGTGAACAAAATAGGTTTCTAATTCTGTTTCGTTTATTTTGTAACATATATGACGATTTAGGCACGCTATTTAATCGCTCGAAAAGATTGCACGCTTACATCGGAGTAACTAGCCACAATGGTGCGCGATGGAGCACTGTTTAGAACATTTATTACCTAGTGACAGTGGAGCCGTATTACAGTTGATTTACACCGAGCAACGTCTTTCTTTCGTGCACCAGAATAATCTGGTGATTTGTGTAAAGGTGTTCTGTGAGATGGCATAAAACATGTTGAATAATTGGCATTTCCCATTCATCAAGATTGCGGTTGTACTTGGAGAACTGTGAATAGCCAGTGATCGGAGGGTAAGAAACTCCCCATCAGCACTGGCCCCCTGTTAGGGAGATGAACGCTAACGTCTCTTGCACTGGAAGTACGCTGTAAGTCCCGGGTTCGCTTCCACCCTCGGGCGACTGTCCGTGTGGAGTTTGCACATTCTCCCCGTGTCTGCGTGGGTTTCCTCTGGGTGCTCCGGTTTTCTCCCACAGTCCAAAGGTGTGCAGGTTAGATGGATTGGCCATGCTAAATTGTCCATAGTGTCTGGGGATATGTAGGTTAGGTGCATTAGCCACGGGAAATGCAGGGTTACGGGGATGGGTCTGGGCAGGATGCTGTTCGGAGCGTCGGTATGGACTTGTTGGGCCGAATGGCCCATTTCCACTGTGGGTATTCTACAATTCTAAAATGTAGTCTGGACACGTAATAGTGCAATGCATGCCCAAGCAGTATTGTCTGTTAAACGAGTGACAAAGAGAAGCACACCGTCACCTTTTTGCTACGTTGACTTTCAGAACCGAGTTAGAAACGGTTTTTATTTCTCTAAGGTACTGTGTGTAGAGTATTTGTGATGCCTGTTTGCTTCCCCTTCCAACATTTCTATTGCCTGATGTATTGCTTGAACTTTTAGTTCACATTTGGAGCAGCACTGACTGATCAGAAACACATTAAAGCCCAGATCACTGGAACTGAATGCATGGTTAGGCCAGACAACACAAACTTTCTAATGGCGGAATCAGTTTGATAGATAGTAACCTATCACAACTGGCCTGGATTTTTTTTTAATCTGCTTTTGGCAATGTGCAATAATGACTGATCATTTATTTTTACAGAGGCATTCGCCAGTTGTCACATTGGAATTTGGGGATTTTTGGGGATTATCACTTTAGCTCTGATAACTTCTGTTGTGGTGAATGTTATCTACTGCACAGCCAACCGACAAAAAGGTGAGCACCTTTCCATCATTCAGTGTCCAAGTTTGCCAACAAGCATCTTAGTTTCCTCATAATTATGAGCAACTGTTTTCAGCATTAAGTCTCACTTTCGATGCCACCATCATTTTTAGTGACTTGTTAAACACGTTGATAGACACCAACCATGGACGCACTATTACTACTGCTGTCTAGCAAGGCCCAGCCTTGCACTGTATCCCTGCCTGCATTTCCTGACTAAAAGAGGAAAAATTGGGTGGAAGTAAAGATTGCAAAAGAAAGGGATAAGCAGGACTGACTATGAAGAGAGACTGGATCAGATAGGACTGCAGAGATAGTAAGAATTGCCCATGCTGGAGTCTGAGATAACACAGTGTGGAGCTGGAAGAGCACAGCAGGCCAGGCAGCATTAGAGGAACAGGAAAGCTGACGTTTGAAGAAGGGTCCCGACCCCAAACGTCAGCTTTCCTGCTCCTCAGATAGGACTACACTCATTGGGGTTTAGAAGAACGAGGGGGGATCTCATCGAAACCTATGAAATTCAAACAGGATTAGACAGGGTGAATGCAGGAAGGATGTTCCTGATGAGCAGGGAGCTCAGAACCAGGGGTCACAATCTAAGGATATGGGGTAAGCTATTTCGGACTGAGCTGAGGAGAAATTTCTTCACCTAGAGAGTATTGTGCCTGTGAAATTCTCAGCTACAGAAAGTGTTTGTGGCCAAAACATTGAATGCTTTCAAGAATAAGCAAGATTTAGTTCTTACAGTGAAAAGGATCAAAGAACACAAAGTAAAAGCTGGAACAGGTTACTGAGCTATACGATCGGGTGGAGCAGGCACATAGGGCTGAATGGTCTATTCCTGTTCCGTTTTTTCTATGTTGCTATGTATCTATAACAAACACAATTAATGGAAAATGACAGATGCAAGGAGAAATAAAATGACAGAAGAAATTAGAACAGAATAAGCTAAAGAAAAGTGGAAGCAAATAGTTCAGTTTATTCTTTAAACTTAGTCTGGTGATTTCTATGGACATTTAATGGTGATGGAAAACAAACATTTCCTTTTTAAATATGGCAGTTGAGTAGCTTTCCTTAAATGGCCATTCTTTTTGTACGAAAAAAAATCATCCTTTAACAAGAATATTAACTTTTTTTGCAACTTTAAGGTGAGTTTAGGATTTGACTATTACTGAAAGCTAGTTTTCATGTTCTGAATATGGGAATGTATATGAATTGGAATTTGATATTTCAGTGCTGTTTAAAGCAGACAATAGATTGTAAATACTATGTTATCAACTTCAAGTAACAAATGAATGTCAGATAATGCATAAGTGAACATGTCTCATGGTAACAAATTCTTTCAGATCACCACTATAACTTTTCATTGTTTCTGCGTTCAAAGGCGGTTTCCCAATACATCACAAAATCACCGCTATATTCATTTCCTATGTGCAGGCAAACCTGTAAAAGTGCTGGACTATTGTAACATGGACTCAGAAATGTGGCAATGTGTGGACAAAAATGCACCTTTGTAATTCAAAGTGTCAAAGTCAATCTTTGGAGAAAGGAAACAATATTGTCTCCTGCTGGTCACTTCCTAATCCTTAATGATGAGTATGAATTCCAAAAGAACAACCATAGGACAGTTAATGAAAGGACAGTGTTTGCCAAATGAGCTGATACAATGTAGATCAGCATGTTTACTCCTAACTTTTCTGGCATTATACTCTTTGAAATATCATTTGGCTGGTTTATAAAACAAGATAGGGCCATTAAAAAATCACAGTAGATCAAAAGAGATTCAATTTCAAACATCACTCTACTATGTTTCAATAATTTGTACTTTTGAAATTATGGTTATTTGACTTTTAAGAATGAATCAAACTTTTTCTCATTTACAGCTCCCAGATCAATATACCGAAGTGTCAAACAATTGCAGAGGTATGGAAATATCAATTTATATTCCAGTTCATCTGGAGCAACAGCTGATTCTTTTTTAACCAGAGAAATATATTTCTCAAAGGAATAATTATTTGAGTTTTGTTTGAGCCTAAGGACTCAGATTTGTACAAGGGTCCTACCATCATGTGTACAGTCCCTTAACTGTGCCATATATTAAGCTATTTTTACCACATAAATCATACCAGCCAGGGTGTCACTGAATTTAGAAGACCATCCTGTATGCACCAGTATGTAGCTGACACAGGACACAGTGCATGTGGTGTTGTGGAGGAGCCCAGAACACAGGATTCCAATTGTGATCCGTATAATCCAACTTCTTTGATTTGTCGACATTGCCTTATCTAATATGCTTCAGGAATTCAGATTTATACAGAAAAATTGGATATGGTGAGACAATTAGATAATTCAAAGGCTTTATTCTAATGCCTGACGTTCTTAGTAAATTATTAAACACAAATTGATTATCTTAAAGCACAGCTGTTTAGAAATAATCCTCTATTATCGCTGCCCTGAAATCAACAGGCAAATTTTCCTGTAATAGAAGTTAAATAATTTTCCACAAAATTGTTTAAGTGGATCTAATCCGATAGAGGAAAGATAGAGAGTGTTACTAATTCAAGTGTCAAAAGTGGTAAGTTGCATGCCGAGGAAATCACCAGATGAACAATAAAAGTATACATTTGGACCTGAAAGTTTTAACTAGATTCTGCAATTTGGCTTACATAAACTAGGAGTAATCTGCACAATTTCTATATCAATTACCTATCATGTCTCATAAATCACTAATTCGGGTTTTAAAAAGTAAATAAAGAAACAAGTTACTTCATTTCTTCATTTCTTAATGTTTTTAATTGCAATCAAGTCCATTTAAAAAGGTTTTCTAGATATTACTGTTGAAATACATTTGAATCAATAATAGCTATTACAAGCAAATGGACCAGGCCACAAAATGTATTCACCTTTTAGGAAAAGTTTACATAAGCACTTATTAATAGAAATTAGTCAGTATCCAAGGAGTCAACACATTAGATGAGATTTTATTCTTAGATTCTAAGATTCTTAGCTCAAAGATTTAAGCTAGCAATGAATCACAATATTGTGGCACAAATTTATTTCAAATGCTTCAGATATTGGATGGAACTAATGAATAATTATTACAGAAATTTACAAGAATTGCTACTTATTACAAGTAAGTAGATTATAAACTCTGCCTATATACGTTTACATACAGACAAACGCAGACAGGAAAAAGAAATGGTTCTTAGGAGTGAAGGGAAAGACTGGCAAGGTGGTAAAGATCTCTGTCTACATGGTTCATTGAGATAATCCTTTTATCCCAGAACATGCTACTCCTTGATTTTCCTTCTCCAGGTACTGTCACTTGCTTGCAGGAACCAGAGGATAGCTGATTCACACATAAGATCTCTGACTTATTGGTTAAAAGCTACAGTTTTCAGTAACTGATGAGGGAAAGTAAACTGGTTTTCTTCACCTTGGGTGATTTTCACATAGGAGAAAGGGGACAGCTTCCCTTTTGGAGATCCAATGGCTTCTCCCCAAACACTCATACCCAGGAGTGGTTTAGGTACTTGGAAGTTGTTGGCAGGCAGAAAGCCTTTGTCATCAATAACTGGTCACCTTTTCAAAGACCAATCAGCTACATGTTGCCAGCCACATTTCCAATTCCACACAGCCCTTGGCTCAAGTTTAGCTGAAGCTAGACTTTCCCCACTGCTTGAACAAAATGCCAGTGTAAACAATGAGTGTGTTATGAGTGCCAGGTAACTTGCTTTTAAAAAATGCACCAATCTTTCAGTGCTTTTAAAACATTTCAGCCATAAAACATTTAACATATTTCCCTTTTCAGTCCTCAATCAAAAATTCAGAAAAATAAAACGATACAGTCTTTTCAATTTCCAGAAGTTACTAGTTAGATTCTTATTAACAAATAGAATACATGGTTATTCAAAATATTGAAAAGGAATACTTTTGGCAAATGAGTGAGCTGAATTAAACCTGCCTGAAATAGTTACTAAGTAGTCATCTAATGTATATCACATAAATAAATCCAAGAAAGGGATTTATAGATTTTTAGATACAAAGAAAATGAAGAGTAAAGAAACAAAATGCAGGAGATCTGCCATGTTCACATTGAACAGCAGAGGAGTTATATAGTGCATTAACCAATGAGATTTACAATTCAATAAATACATTCAGCATACCCTTATATATTTTGACAACCAGGGAGGGGTGATTCACTTCCTCTCTTTGGTTGTTTACAATGGAAATTTGTACTAATTTTAATCATGAAGCCAGACCGCTAATAAAAATGTAGTTATCCAATTTCTGTAGTACCAGTAAGATGCCATGAGGTTTCTTTGAGTGAAAGAAAAAATAATTTTTTTACATGCTAACCACAAGACAAATAATAACGCAATGCCAAACATACCTATACAAACATATAAAGTTAAAAAAAAGTGTCCAATACATTAGGAAAGAAATAAACAGATTAAAATTCTTAGGAAGATATTGAGCTGTGAAGGATTTAACTTGAGACCACAGTTGTTTGCTTGCTGTCAATTATTGCAGATTTCTTAAGTTCTGGGATCTGGTTGTTCAACGCCAATTTGTGTTGGTAAATGCTTTGTCCTTAAAAAGCAGGGAATGTGAAATTTCTCCGATTTTGCAGTCACAAATTCAACTCGTTTGCTGTGCCAAAAGCAGTTTCTTGAAATACAACCTGGTGTGTGTATTTCTATGTCTGAGTTCCTTGTTTCCAAGATTGATATTGCAGATGATATCTTTCATCTCCAACATGTGAAACTTATTACACAGGTTTCAATCAATCAATGTAGGAGAGCTGGTGATGCAATGGCAATGTCACTGGTCTAGTAATCCAAAACACGGAATAAAAACAGAAGTTGCTGGAAAAGCTCAGCAGGTCTGGCAGCATCTGTGAAGAAAAAGTCAGAGTTAATGTTTTGGGTCTAGTCTAGGGAGGACGGACAGGTCAAGGAGGCGGGATGAGGCTAGTAGGTAGGAGATGGGGGTGGGGCTTAAGGTAGGAGGAGTGGATAGGTGGGATGAAGGACAGGTTAGGGAGGCAGGGACGAGCTGGGCTGGTTTTGTGATGTGGTCAGGGGAGGGGAGATTTTGAAGCTTGTGAAGTCCACATTGATACCATTGGGCTGCAGGGTTCCCAAGCGAAATATGAGATGCTGTTCCTGCAACCTTCGGGTGGCATCATTGTGGCACTGCAGGAGGCCCAGGATGGACATATTGTCCAAGGAGTGGGAGGGGGAGTTGAAATGGTTCGCGACTGGGAGGTGCAGTTGTTTGTCACGAACCGACCATAGGTGTTCCACAAAGCGGTCCCCAAGCCTACGCTTGGTTTCCCCGATGTAGAGGAGGCCACATTGAGATCAGCGGATACAGTATACCACATAAACAGATGTGCAGGTAAACATCTGTTTGATGTGGAAGGTCTTCTTGGGGCCTGGGATGGGGGTGAGGGGGGAGGTGTAGGGGCAGGTGTAGCACTTCCTGCGGTTGCAGGAAAACTGCCGGGTGTGGTGGGGCTGGTGGGGAGTGTGGAGCGGACAAGGGAGTCATGGAGAGAGTGGTCCCTCCGGAAAGCAGATAAGGATGGGGAGGGAAAAATATCTTTGAAGTGGGGTCAGATTGCAGATGGTGGAAATGTCGGAGGATGATGCGTTGGAGCCGGAGGTTGGTGGGGTGGTACATGAGGATGAGGGGGATTCTGGTATGGTTGTTATTGCGGGGAGGGGGTGTGAGGGATGAGTTGCGGGAAATGCGAGAGACACGGTCGAGGGCATTTTCGACCACTGTGGAGGGGAAGTTGCGGTCCTTTAAAAATGAGGACATCTGGGATGTCCGGGAGTGGAATGCCTCATCTCGGGAGCAGATGCAGCGGAGGCGAAGGAATTGGGAATAGGGGATGGCATTTTTGCAGGAAGGTGGGTGAGAGGAGGTGTATTGTAGGTAGCTGTGGGAGTCAGTAGGTTTGAAATGGATATCAGTTTCCAGGTGGTTGCCAGAGATGGAAACAGAGAGGTCCAGGAAGGAGAGAGAGGTATCAGAGATGGTCTACGTGAACTTAAGGTTGGGGTGGAAGGTGTTGGTGAGGTGGATGAACTGTTTGAGCTCCTCGTGGGAGCATGAGGCAGCGCTTCAAAATCTCCCCTCCCCCGACCACGTCCCAAAACCAGCCCAGCTCATCTCCGCCTCCCTAACCTGTCCTTCCTCCCACCTCAAGCCCCACCCCATCTCCTACCTACTAGCCTCATCCCGCCTCCTTGACCTGTCCGTCCTCCCTGGACTGACCTATCCCCTCCCTAACTCCCCACCTACACTCACTTTTACTGGCTCCAATCCTGCCTCTTTGACCTGTCTGTCTCCTCTCCACCTATCCTCTCCTTTATCCATCTTCTATCCGCCTCCCCCTCTCTCCCTATTTATTTCAGAATTCCCTTCCCCTCCCCATTTCTGAAAAAGGGCGTAGACCCAAAACATCAGCTTTTCTGCTCCTCTGATGCTGCTTGACCTGCTGTGTTCATCCAGCCCTACACCTTGTTATCTCAGATTCTCCAGCATTGGCAGTTCCTACTATCTCTGTTTTAATGGCTTAGTTCTTTCTTTAAAGTAATTGCCTTTTTTCCCCTTAGTTCTGTGACTCAGGAAGTTGATGATAATCCAATTTATGGCAATCTCAACCAGGATTACACAGGTAGGCTTCTTATTCTAAATATATAAAGTGAAATGTATGAGTGACTTATTAAATCTGAGACAACTAAAGCCTGGAAATTACTAAGAATGCTATTATCATACATGCAGTATAAACATATCAAAATCATCAGCACAAATTTAATAGGTTTGTACCTCATTTAAGATGTTTAAAAGATGTTAAATAATTGAAACATAAAAAAGAGAAATGTATTTGTGTGCTTAAGAAATTTGAAACTTTAAAGTGAAATCTTAATATATAAAACTGAATAAACAAAATTCCAATGTGTTTAATTGCAAAATGATACTGCATATTGTGTATACAATGCGAGAAACTAAATGTTCTTAATTTTGTATTTACATTGAGACAGGCACTTTCTGAAAAAAAACAATTTGATTGCACAGAACAATGTGTTTTGATACATTGAATTTGTTGCATTCACTGCTCCCGTCTATCCGCCTTACAGCAATCTCTGTTCCAGTGAACTACTCCAGTTAGTCTTTTTCTGTACCCACTCCAAAGCCTTCATATTTTCCTCAAAGTTTTGTATCCACAGTGAACACTAAACCTTGAGCAGAAGAAATGAGTAATTTCTGGGAATTATGTGGGATACCATGCACTTAAACAGAGTTATCAATTATCTTGCTAAATGAAGGAGCTGCATATTTTCCAATAACATTTCCTGATTTGGTAAGATACCACGAGTCAATTCTGTACAAGTTGGCAACTAAAATAGCAGTGGCATTGTTATACATTACGAATTGAAAAGATGACCTTGAGTTAATAACAATAAAAAATTTTTGGCCACAGAAAATTATCAGAAAGTGTAAGATGATGTACTTTTTGTTTTTACAAGTTGAAGGTGAGAGCTGTTATGAAGCCATGACGCCAACTAGTGGATCTGGAGATGAAACCAAGGTATTTATATCAAGGGGATACAACTTTGTACCAAATTGCAAAATATTACTTATATATTTTGAAATGTGCCTTAGTGCAGCATAACTTTAAAATAATGGCTATATTACAATATTTGCTTTGTCACAATCATATTCTGGATTGCAGCTCTAGAAAGAAATTATTACATAACATCACTAAGGTGCAAAACCCTGCTATTGTTTAGTAGAACCAATTGTTTATGGTGTAACTGCATTTAAACTACATTGATTTGATGTTAATGCATTTGTCACTACAGCATAATTCTTTAATATATAACAAAATCTAAATGTCATTGCAAGAGAGGGTGCTAATGTGCTTTTAGAATCACACAAAGTACAAATTTCTTACGCAGTTGCCTACAGCTTTAAAAAGTAATTTTGTTTACAATATAGTACTGCATCTGTGCTAATAAAATTCACAAGTGCAAAAAGTGATTTTGTGACTACTCCAGCATCTTTTTACTCTTCAGTCAATTATCCAGTCTTCTTTGAAAGTTACCATTTAGTTTGCTTTTTCCACCCTTTGAGGCCTTGCATTCCAGATCATATCAATGCACACTGTAAAACAGTTCTAATTTCCTATATTTTTCACTTGCAAATTATCTTCTATCTGGTATTCTATTGTTATTGAACGTCCAGTATATGCCTGCTTCCAAACTATTTATGGTAAATACAAAACTATAAACATTCATCATTATTTCTTTGTCGAATATGCACATTCCATCTCAGCAGGACGCTCAATTGGAGTTTGCATTTCACTAAGGAATAATCAGTAGAGTTTTGCTTCCCAAAGAGGAGTTGACAGTGATGTAGTCCCTTTCATTACCTCAAAACACTTTCTATCCAATGAACAATGGCTGCTGTTCTGCTGTAGGAAATGAGGCTGTTAATTTTCAAACATAAAATAGATAAAATAGAAATTAAATAAATTACTTGATTATAATTTTTAGTGTTAGCTGAAGTAGAGATATTGGCCAACACACCAGGGTAGATTTCTTGCTCTCATCAAATAATGTCATTAGATGTTTTATATCAATTCAAGAGTGCAGATGGAGTGTCATCGAGCAAACAGCATCTCTAACAGTGCAGTGCTTAGTCTCTTTGTACCTTAGTGCATAAATTGCAAAAGGTTGGTCTACAGGTTCAGCAAGTGCTGTATGACAGTATGACCCTATATGTAACGAGGAAAGCTGACAGAATGTTGTAATTTAATGCCGGGGAAATTGAACACAGAAGTGGGAAGGTTATACAGGGCATTGCTGAGATCTCATAGAGTCATATAGTACAGAAACAGACCATTCGGTCCAATTAGTCCATGCTGAACATAATCCCAAACCAAACTAGTCCCACCTGCCTGCTCCTGGCCCATATCCCTCCAAACATTTCCTATACATGTACTTATCCAAATATCTTTTAAACATTGTAATTGTGCCCACATCCACCACTTCCTCAGGAAGTTCATTCCACACGTGAACCACCCTCTATGTAAAAAAACTTGTCCCTCATGTCTTTTTTAAATCTCTCTCCTCTCACCTTAAAAATGTGTCCCTAGTCTTGAAATCCCCCATCTTGGGAAAAGACAACTACCATCAACTCTATCTGTACTCCTCATTATCTGGACAATTATGTAGAGTATTGATTTTTTTTTTATTTAATAAAAGGATGCAAATGCATTGGAAATAGTTCAGAGAAGGTTTTACCAGGCTAGTAACATAGAACTGGAGTTGGGGATATGAATTATGAGAAAAAGTTGGGCAGGTAGAGTTTAGAAGAGCAAAAACGTTTCATAATTAAAACACAAGATCCTGAGTTGTCCTGACAGGGTGGAAATGGAGCTTTCTCTTGTGGGAGAATTTAGAACCAAGGCTCACTGTTTCAAAATGAGGGGTTACCCATTTAAAACAGAGAAGAATACTTTTCTTAGAGAGGGTGAAATGTTTTTAAAAGACTTTCTCAAAGGGGAATGGAAGCCACGTATTTGAATATTTTTAAGGCAGAGATAGATTATTAATAAGCCAGGGTGTAAAATGTTATCACGCAAGGGTTGGTGAGAATTTTGAGCTAAGTTTACACTCAGATCAGCCATGATTTTATTGACTTAGCAGAGCAGGCTCAAAGGGGCCGCGCAGCCTAATCTTAATTTATTTTTGTCGGTCTCTGGCTAAATCTTAAGCTGTCAATATTCAAAATTGAAGACGAGAGTGCTATCTCAGAGTCAAGCTTATACTGTGGAAACTAGATTTAAATCTAAATTGGATTAACATGGGTTGAATGTCTCAGTAATGGCTTCAAACATTGATGTATTTTATTACCAGAGCTGCTTTGATATCTTGTTCTTTTTTTCCAAATACTAGTGCTACTAAGTCCAGACCTAGTGGTCTTGACAGCTCGCAGACATTATTGTAAAATTGCCCATTCACCAATGCTGACTCCCAAAAAGCCCATTTTGCTTTAAATACTATCTTCCCAGATTGCCCTCTTAATGAATTGGAGTTTGGTACACTCCAAACTCTGGCGCAGCCACTAAGAGATTGGGAGTTAGCAGGATAAGGATAATGCCATTGAATGAAAACAGTTCAAGTTGGCCGTTTCTTACATAATTTCTTCACCTTGGCTAATCTGGCATTGAGCATCATTGATACTAAAATCCCCTATTTTAAATTAAAAGGCAAATTCTGCCAGCCTGAGGAGCTGAACTAGTCCTACATCTCAGCAACCTTCCACAGATTTTCCAGCATTTAAAATGTCATGAGATTTTCCTTTTAGGTGCAGGGTTGGTGGCCTTTGGATTGTTGTTGTGCAGCTAGGGTGGGTAGAAGTTTCAGAGTGGTTGCAAAGAAAGTTACAGAAATGATTATTTGTGCTCAAGCAGCAGTTACCTGTTGAAAATTCTTGGGGAGAAATAAAATCAAACAAAAAGGTTAGAAGATGGTGGGTTGTTTGCTTAAATACCTGCTTACTGTCAAAGGCAACCCATGCAGGTAGTTTCTGAACACATCGACTTAGCAGAGCAGGCTAAGACAGAAAATCATAGGCAGCATGTCCAGAGTTTTCTACTAGACAAGGGTAGCTAGTGATGCTCCCCACCATTGTAGACATGGTGGGAAAAAAATACTTCTATTGTCAGGTGTGTATTTTAAAAAGAAGAACTGTAATAAGTAATGAAAGGGGTCAGAAATCACGACAGTGTAGTAACTCCTGAAAGTTAAAGCAGCTACATTAAATCTGTGAGGAACATTCTTAGTACTTTAGTATTAAAATAGCAATTTTCTTTCAATTGTACTTTCTATCAATTGTTTCTTATATCAACCTTCAGTTACTGCTACAGACCAGTGGCAATATTGCATATTTTCACTAGAATCCGTGACATTTTCTTTGAATAAACACAAACTCTATTTTTGTATTGAAAGGAAAAATGTGTGAACTGCTACACTGACATGTGAGCAAAGTCAAATGCTGTGCCACTGGGGCAAAGTCACCTAAATCCTTTCAAATGTATTTTGAACTTGAAATAATCTCCATGTTCTAATAGGCTGCTGTATTTGTTTATAGGTGGTGGCTGAAAATCAAATGTGCTATGCATCTCTAGACCTTCCAGTGGAACGGAAAAAACGACACAGAAAGATGGAAAAACAAAAGATGAATAATAACATACTGGAGGATGATAATGTGCCGCTTAATTCACATGCATTGACCTCAAGACCCAGCATTTACCTGAATAGTGATCAGATTTCTTTTAACGAAGGTGGAAGAGAAGAAACTATACATGATGATCCGATTACTTTTTATGGCAGAGTAAAGACATTGCAAAGCAATCTGTCATTAAATGATACAGTTACAGCATTTGATAATATAAGATGACCTTTAGTTGGTGCTTGTATCAACACTAGTAAGATTAATCATGAAGTAATAGGATGTTCAGAGAAATATGTAAAAGGAACAAGTTTATTGCGAAAAAAATTCGCATTGAAATGTGTTGTCATCATTTACATGGAAATATCAGAAAGAACAAACAACTTTTAGTTTCAAATTTACATTACAATTCCAAAAAAATTCCATCTAAGAAACTTCATTCTGGAATTCATAAGCAACAAATAGCACTGAAAAATAAACATCCCAATCAATAATCCATTTTTCCATAATTCACCAGTTTCAGTGCGCTACATTTTTAACCAAAGGGGTTTTAACCTGTCTGAGTTTCAAGTCCATTCACTTGTTGAACGTCACCATTTTGTTACTCATTGAAGACAACAATGTTAGAGGTGTTTCATCTCTGCCTGTACTTATTCAAATAGAGTTCAGATAGGTAAACCAGCATGGTATACAGCAATATCTTTAAACTGGGAATTAAAGTTTAGGTGTAACTTCCATTACAATATCCAACTGTTTGAATGTTTAAAATTGATGTCACTTTACGAATTCAGTCATCTGCCAGAGCTGTATTGTTTAGTAATGCCATTAGTTTTAAAATAAGCCTAAATATAAAAAGACTAGTAAACTGTATTTAAAACAAAAATTAGATGTGCTTCTAGTCTTGAATATTCTAATACATTTTTGACCAAGCTCCAGTGTCCAATCCCTGAAAGCTAAATTTCTGCTGTCCATGTCCTAATTCACATCAAATCACGTTCACCTTCTCTTCAGTGCTCAGTAAACTACACTTGTTCTCAGTTAAGTAATGTCTCAATTTTAAAATTCTCATCTCAAGTCCATTGCCTCCCTCATTCTGTCTGTAATCCTCTGTAACCCACCAAAATATCTTCTAACTCTGGCCTTATAAATACCTGCTTTTGATCACTCTAGTTGGCCTTCACCTGTTGAGGCCTTAACGCTGAGCATCCTTCCCTCAATTTCTCTCTTTCTTAAAATATTCCTAAAAACGTGTCCCTTTGACCAGCCTTTTGGTCATCTGACTTAATACCTTATAAGATTCAGTTGTTTTGGTTTTATAATCCTGTGAAGTGCCTTGGGAGGTAAAATGGTGTCAAATTTATGTTGTTAATGCATTTTAATTGTCTTTTACCTTATAAAATGTCTACATGAACACAGTTCCCCATTGCACCATTTTACGCCTGGGTTCTGTCACAGGCAAGGAAAAACCAACATCCCTAAAAGTGTTAATACAGACTGGCGACTATAAGGCACCAATAAATCTCAATTTCTAATCTGACATTTCCGTTTATGGTCTGATACATGGCAAGCTGTGTATTTAAAGAGACAGCTATATATATGGAAAGTTAGTCATCTTGTGGTTGCACACGTCAAATTGCATTCGAAGATGTGGTTGGTTTAAGACTTAGAGAAAATGCTTTCTGATGTAAGAACTCTGTCCTTCACTCACTGATCAGACTCTTCTATCATTCAAATGAATGAGCAAGAGCCCACAAGCTGGCCTTTTTCAAATAGTCACCAACACAGTGCAAAATTAAAAATAACATTTTAAGTCAAAGTTTAATGGGAAAGCTTCAGTTGTTGCCTGTAGTGAGGCATGATAACCATGGTACAGTGGAATGTCACTTCTTGGTGAATGTTGTGGTCAATGTGATTGTGATCCTCCATCTTTTTTTCTTTTAACTGAATAGGAATTATCACAATTATCCTTTAATGTTTCAGACTAGGAGCAGACTTTGAAAAGAGTCTCTAAAAGGAGACATTAATCACAGTGACAGTGAAAGCAAAAGTGATAGTACATACGTTAAGTACAGGAGCAGAGATATTTTGCTGCCACTGTACGGTGCATTGGTGAGACTGTGCCTGGTGTATTGTGTGAGATTCAGTCTCTTTATCTGACAAAGGATGTCTTATGTGAGGATACTGGATCGGTCAGGACAATATTCACTGGCGTTTAGAAGAATGAAGGGAGATCTCGTAGAAGCCTGTAGAATTCCAACAGGACTAGACAGAGTAAATGCAGGAAGGATGTTCCCCATGACTGGGGAGTCCAGAAAAAGTGATCACAGTCTAAGGATACAGAATTGGCCATTTATGTCTGAGATGAGAAGGAATTTCTTCAACTAGAAAGTGGCTGAGCTCAAATTATTTAATGTTTTCAAGGAATCAGCTATAGTTTTTACAGGGGTCAAAGGGTATGGGAAAAAAGCAGGTATAGGGCACTGAGTTGAATGATCAACCATGATCAGATTGAATGGCGGAATTGATGAATGGCCAACTCCTGCGTCTATTCCCTTTGTTTCTATGTATTATTTGTGAATTTGTCATCATAATGGTAATACTAATTACTTTCCCTTATATACTATGTGTTCTAAAGTAAAAGTAACACATGCAGATTGTAACTTAATGTTTATTTAAATAAAGTATTACATTTTGATTATACCTCTTGGCCTAAGTAGTTTTTAAAGCTGATGAAAATTTACAATAGAGTCACACCTGGGACATTTTCAGTCTATCTGCTGGAGGTCTTTCCAAGTTTCTTAGCTATTTACATAGGACTATGGCGACTTTACCTTTTAATGATGCGACAATGTTATTTTTCAATGTAAGGCATACTATCTTAAAATTTTTAAATTACAAAATTTAAAAACAATTAAATAGTAAGTTATCAGAAAATATATATGAATTACTAACACTTAATAATTCAATGAAAGACCCAATACAATATAGTTTCATGGAACATTTTGTGAATGAATAAGAATTGGCTGAAAGATAGAAAAATACATTTATTAGAGAAGTTATTCCTAGAGGATTAGCATTCACATATGTACTCAGAGGGGATGTCTCAAGGAATTGTCAGGCTACTGTGGTGTCTAATGAAATGGATTTAGGAACTCAATGCAATCTGTTAAAATTTGCAAAGGAAACCAAACTCGGCTCTAAAATCAACTTGGACAAAAAAAGTTGAAGTACTATCTGTGCATAGAAAGTTTTTCTTCAATTCCTTTCACACACTCCACCAAGAAGATAGGTGGGCTCTCAACTTTAAGTTATCCAAAAGAAAAACTTCAACAATGTACTGCACTGAATCATCAGTCACTTGTTCACATCCTGCAGTGAAACTTCAACACCAAAATAAAAAACACTACCATGAAACCATGACCAAAAGTCAGGCAGGACTTCACCAAGAGGTTAACTTCTAGTACCGTCACCATTCCATTACCAAGGTACATGGAATCAAAGAATGGAATTTGATACAGTTAGCACTTCTGCTGACTTACCCATATTTGAAAAACATGCAATTTGTTGAAGATTTTCATCTTGCAATTAATATGACAATTTGCAAGAATTACCAAAGTAAAAGAAAAACACTTATACTGTATGAGAGGAGAATGCTGACTGGCTGGCTAGAGGCCTTTGATTGGAAGAGGCATTGCCAATGAGAATGTACTAATTAATGATGACTGACAGTTAACTGCCAAGCGATCTTTAAATCAGGCAGGTAAAATTGGATTGGTCAATGTCCCAAGGCAATATTTTGACCAGAGAATAGTTGTAGCCTGTTTTATTGAGCTGAAACAGGCACAAATGTGTACATGCTTCATCTGTGCATTTTCCATAGTTTCCAATACACACAATGATCCCACACTTCAAGCCTGACTGACAATCCTAAATTGATTGTTAGCATAACTCTTCACTTTGATTATATTAGACACTGTTGTGAGCTTTGGAAAAACGGTTGGTTGGGTATGGTCTGTAGCCCGTTTGTTGCAAACAGTCAACGGGATTTGCTGTTGATATGTCAGTTATTGGGATGTCTGCCCTACATACCTAGCACCACACCAGCATTTAAATTCATATACCACAGTAATCATCTGCACAATAGGCAAAACATCTTTTCGGCTTTACAGCTGCATCCAGTAAGTGGCAAACACCATTTGTTTTGCTTCTGCATTGTAGGATCTGAAGTAGTTAAATTCACCAGCTGTTTAAACTTTTGACAATGCTTATGCTTCCAGATAAGCTGGGCACTTTTTAGGACTTTTTACACCTATTCAGTGACAAATAAATGAGCTGATCAGTGTAGCCATTATCCTGCAGGATGGCTTTGATGCATCCTATTTCAGTGTCAAACTTGTGAGATTTACAACTAATAAGGCCAATCCTATAGTGCCTAGAACTGTAGGAATCCTAATATTGATCAATGAAGGCAGGATTGCAGTAAACAGTAGGAGAGAAACCCCTGGCGGTTTCTAAACTAGGATGGCTAGGGACCTTATTTGATTGCTTCATTTTAGAAGTGAATTTGTGCACAGGATGGAGCATTTAAACATGAAATGAAGTTCTTAATTGCAATTGTGGATTCAAATATAGTAAATATAAACATCATAAACATGCAAAGGGTAGGAGGTTAAAGGAGAGTCAATGGATGTAGTAGACTTAGATTTTCAGAAGATTTACGGTAAAAGTTCTCCACAGGAGGTTGGTTAATAAAGTTAAAGCAAATTAGTAAAATTAAAGCAATTAAAGGATAGGAGATAATGTACTGGTATGGATTAATACAAAACCAAAAATTGCTGGAAAATCTCAGCAGATCTGGCAACATCTGTGGAGAGAAATCAAAGTTAAAGTTTCGTGTCGAGTGACCCCTCCTCAGAACTGAATAGCATGAAATTAGGAAGATAAACGTTATACTGACTTTTGTTGCAAGAGAATTTGAGTTTAGGATTTGAGGATGTCTTGCCTTGGTGAGACTACACCTGGAGTATTGTGTGCAGTTTGTCTCTCTTTTAAAAAAAGGATATACTTACCATAGTGGGAGAGCAACAGAGGTTCAGTGGGCTGGCAGGACTGTCCTGAGCAGAGATTCATTGAATTGGGCCTGTATTCAGTAGAGTTTAGAAAGGTGAAATGGAATCTGATTGAAACATATAAAATTCTAACTGGGCTGGAAGACGAGATGTAGGGAGGATATTTTTCCTGGTTGGAGAGTCTAGAACCAGGGGAACCACTCTTAGGATACAGGGTAGACCTTTTAGAACTAAGATGTGGAAAGATTTTTTCACTTAAAATACAGCCAATCCGTAGAAATTTCTACTGCATAAGGTTGTGGAGACAAAGTCACTGAATATATTTTTAAAAAGAGATTGATACGTTTTTAGATATTAAAGGCAACAAGGGGTATGGAGAGAAGGCAGAAATGTGGTATTGAGATAGAAGAATAGACAGGATATTATAAAGTCATATAGCACAGAAACAGAACCTTTGGTCTAACTTGTGTACGCCAACTAGTCCCATTTACCTGTGTTTGGCCCATATCCCTCTAACCTTTATAATTCATGTACCTGGCCAAATATTTTTTAAAAGTTGTATCTGTACCTGCATCTGCCACTTCCTCTGGCAGTTCATTCCATATACGCACCATCCTTTGTATGAAAAAGTTGTCCCTCAGTCCCTGTTTAATTGTGTCCTCTCTCACCTTAAACCTACGGCTTCTAGTTTTGAACTCCCCTACCCTAGGGAAAAGACCATTGCTATCCACCTAAACAATGCCCCTTGTGATTTTATAAACCTCTATAAGGTCTCCCCTTAGGCTCTGACAGGAAAATAGGCCCCAGTCTACTCAGCCTCTCCCTGTAGCTCAAACCCTCCAATCCCAGCAACATCCTGGTAAATCTTTTCTGAACCATTTAAAGTTTAACAACATCTTTCCTATAGCAGGGAGACCAGAATTGTAAGCAATATTCCAAAGATGATCTCACCAATGTTCTATACAGCCGCAACACGACGTCTCAACTCCTATACTTGATGCTTCGACCAATGAAAGTAGGCCTGCCAACTGCCTTCTTTATGACCCTGTCTACCTATGAAGCCACTTTCAAGGAATTATGTACTTGAACCCCTAGGTCTCTCTGTTTGGCAACACTGCCCAGGGCCCTACCGTAAACTGTATAAGTCTGCCCTGGTTTGAGTTACCAAAATGTAACAACTCACATTTATCTAAATTAAACTCCATCTGCCAATCCTCAGTCTATTAGTCCAATTGATCAAGATCCCTTTGTAATCTTGGATAACTTTCCTCACTGTCTACTATACCATCAATTCTGGTGTCATCCAGAGACTTACCAACTATGCTTCCTATATTCTCATCTAAATCGTTCATATAATTGAGAAACAATAGTGGATCCAGCACTGATCCTTGAGGAACACCTGCTGGCCACAGGCCTCCAGTCAGTAAAACAACCCTCCACCACCCTCAATCCACTAATGTCAAGTCAATTTTTGCATCCAATTGGCAAGCTTTACCTGGATCCCACGTGGTCTAACCTTACAAATAAGTCTATTATCTGAAATCATGTGGAAGGCCTTATTAAAGTCCATGTAGATGTCTATCGCTGTACCCTCATTTATCTTCTTGATCACATCTTCAAAAAACTCAATCAAGTTTGTGACACAATTTCCCACACACAACACCATGCTGACCATCTCTAATCATGATGTGGATGCTATGACAATGGATGAATAGACACCACGCAACAATCGCCAGGCAAGCGTGTTCCCTCCTAGTTGTGGAACACTTCTGATCTTTGGGTAAGCATCTTCCAAGGTGGCCTTTGAGATACACAACAGCCCAAAATCACTAATCAGGAACTGATAGCCAAGTTCCATACCCATGAAGACAGCCTCAACCATGATCTTGGGTTCATGTCGCGCTACGTGTAAACCCACCATACTGTTCTGTGTTTGTAAAATCTTCCTTACTGTTCTGTTTTTGACACCATCACCTTGATTGCTTGTTATGATCTCTCTACTTTAATTAGCTTGTACAGTTTTAGATAACTTGTTACTTTGGTTAGACCCTTGTCATGTGACCCTTATTCCTATGGTGTTATTCCAGCCATTTGGTTTATCTCTAGCAACATCTTATTTTTGATTTTTGTAATTGTCACACTGCCTCAATTAATCGGAGCATAGGTTATCCTTTTACTTGCTATTTAGCTGTTGACATTTGTGATACCGTTTGACACTTTTGACCACCTACAAAGACTTCTTATTCAGCCTGTCAACACACCACTCACACGATTTGTACTATCTTTTGACACTCTTAATTACTTGGAAGTTTCTTGCAATGATGTCTCCATCTAAAAAAATTTGTGCCTATGCACTTCCCACTACTTCACCTGACAAAGGACAGTGCTCCAAAAGCTTGTGATTTCAAATAAACCTGTTGGACTATAACCTGGTGTTGTGTGATTTGACTTTATCCCTAATTAGTCCTTGCCTGTCCAAATGTTTGTAAATCCTAGCTCTCAGAATCCCCTTCAACAACTTACCCACCAATGACTGGTCTATAGTTTCCTGCTTTTCCTTGCAGTCTTTTTGATATAAAGGCTCAACATAGCCACCCTTCAGTTTTCTGGCACCTCACCTATAGATGATAA